AATAATACTAATTACAATATTATTAAGAATTTGCTCAAGTACTAGTGATTGGACTCGTCAACTTGTGACTCGAATTATTCGAATACGAATCATAAATTTTTTAATCCGTGAATACTCACGAGTTAATTATTAATGTATAATGAAGTTTAAAATGACTATTGTAATATATACTTTGCATTAATAAAGCTTTGTAAGCTGCATAAATAATGTCGTAATTCTACATGATTATATGTAATTCTTTAAAATTTAAATAAACCATGTACATAATGCAATTTTTAATAAAATAAAGAAATTTAAGACTTTTAAAAACAATTTAATAATACAAACATACCACAAATAAAAGCACTAATTAATGAGGAAATCTTGTAATAAAAGAATAGTCAAAGCACTACTACCATATGTCCAAAAGTAGATCTACATCTGGAAATATTTGAAAGGAGGATATAACTTCCACTTGTGAAATTATAATGGATGACGGAGAAAAAAGTAGTACCTCGTATAATGATGGACTTCAAATTTAATTAACAATCTAGTGATATAATTATGAGTCAATTTATAACACTTAAATTGAATTATATTTGCTTCATGTAGCTCTCAATTTATAAATTTTATCAATGAATTAATTGCCGTGGCTCGAATTACTCGAACAAAACTCGAATAAGTAATTAAATTGAATTATTCGAGCACTCTTCTGAGTTTAATTCGCGAATCACGAGTTTATACGGGCTCTACTACTAGAGATGGGCAAAGTAATTTTGTACGTAATAATTACTTATGACCTATCCCTTAATTAATATTAAATAATTATTATATTATTAATTAAATATATACGTGATCTAAAAAACATTTGAATTGAAGAACATTGTTAAAAAAGTTAGTAAAAATAGTTGAGAGTAAGTTAGATAAAGTGTTATAATATACTTGACTTAATGATTATTATAGTTCAAATCTATCAACTGGACTTTCATCAACCTATTAATTCTGTTTTAAAAGAATATCTATTATCTATTTCATTGTTACTTCAAAGTGTACAATGAAGCAGGCACTATTATACTGGGCACTATTAATTACAATTAATTAAGTAATCATTTTATAATATAGTTATATAAAGTAAATTTTATAAAATTAGAACTTAGCTTTTAATTATGTTCTATTAAAATTTTCAATATATTATCTAATATTTGCTAATTAATTATGTGTATTTTGAAAGATTAATGAACCTAAGAATGATTTTTATATTACAGTTGAGTATATATACAATATGCTACAAGCTAAAATACAAAAACTCTTATCAAATATAGATAATAATAAAGTTTAAGAGATTTGGAAAATTAATTATATTGCAGTACTATCTAAATTATATTATATAGTAGTTTTTTGTAACTTAATAATACTTGGTGTATATATATATATGTCATGACACAAGATGCAGCTGGAATTTAAGCACGGCACAACGAAAAATTTATTGAACAGACTAAAGAGATAAGTATACAATTTCTTTCTTTTTATCTTGTAATTCTTCTATTACTAATTACTAATTGCTATCGTATGATTGCTGAGGTTCTACGAAACTATGACTACATTGTTAATGCATGGCTTTGTTATTACAACTGGATTACTTCATTTCTTATACAAATAAAGTCTTGGATTTATAACGAATCTGGGCTTCGAGCTTGAGTTATGGGCTTGAGTTGGGCTTGAATCGGACTTGAGTCACGGGCTTGAGTCAGGCTTGAGTCATGGGCTTGAGTCGGGCTTGAGTCACGAGCTTGAGCAGCTTGGCTATGTAACTGTAATATTATCCCCCCCTTAATGCCTTTCTTCTTCTTTCTTTTTGATTTTCTCAAAGTTGTTTTCAATTCAGGTTTATGAGGGTATAGCTGGTAGAAACTTTTTACAGCCTCTTCAGTATGTACCACATTTTCAGCAAGTTCTCACGAGCGTTCGCTTGGGTCACAGTCTTTTCATTCAATTAGGTAATGTAGTTCCTTCTGGATTAATTTCGAGTCAAGTATTTTCTCAACTTTATATTCCATTTCTCCATCTATTATTACTGGAGGGGACGGTTTCTTGTATCTACCAGAGATGTCGTTTGCCATATATAGTTTCAAGTGAGATATGTAGAATATATCATAGATTTTGAGAGAAGGGGGTAGGTCTAAGCAATATGTTATAGGGTTAATTTGAGTTATGATCTTATAAGGCCCTAACTTTTTATAATCCAATTTCTCTGATGGACATTATGTGCGAATATTTTTTTCTATTAACCAAACTTGGTCATTAATCTTGAACAAAGGTGGTTCTTGTCATCATCAATTAGTATTTTTTTTGTAATGATTCTGTGCGGCCCTCAATTCTTGCAGAAGTTCTTTCCTAATTTGTTGTAATTGAGTTGCCTTATCCTCGGCAGATAGTACAGTTGGTCGTGAAGGTGCTTGGATATCGAAATGTGGGCTGAATCTGTAATTAGCAAAAAATGAGGTGGTTTTTGTTGATGAATGCATAGAGTTATTATAAGAAAATCCAGCTAAAGGCAGAAGATCAGCCTAATCATCCTGGTGATAATTTATGGTACACCTTAGGTATTGCTCCAGTACTTGATTGACCCTCTCACTCTGCCCATTTGTCTGTAGATGATATGCTAAAAATAGACTGATTTTTGTTTCTAGGAGTTCAAAGAGATGCTTCCAGAACCGGGAAGCAAATTGTGACTTTCTATCGAAGATAATTTCTTCAGGTATTCTATATAGATGGACTATTTCCTGAATTACTAACTGGGCGGTTTGTTTAGCAGTAATATTTTTATGACAAGCAAGGAAATAGGCCATTTTCATCAGACGATCCACTATCACTAGAATAGAGTCAAAACCCGAGAATATAAGTAAGTCAGTTATGAAGTCTATAGATATAGATTGCCATTGGTGTGAAGGAATGGGCAGAAACATTAACAATCTATAGGGACAATGTCTTGGTATCTTTGATCTAGCATACATATCGCAAGTTCTGATATATCTTCATACAAAGGATTGGAGATTGGGCTACCAATAGTCTCTGGTTACTAATTCAATGGTTTTAGCTATTCCAAAGTGCCTAGCTAACTTAGAATCATGCCGAGCCTGCAATATCTCAAGTTGTTCTGCTATACCAGGTATATATAATAGCTCATCTTTGTAAAGCAGACCATCTTTATATAAAAATTTATAGTAGTCAAATCGAGAGCCATTGTAAGTTGTAATGATATTGTTTAGGTGTCTTATAACATCCAAGGCAAGTGGATCTGCTTTTAATTGAGATTTAACACGTTGCTAAAGAACATAATCTAATGGTGCTGTTGAAATGGCATTTAGGCAAATTTTCTCTTGTTTCAACAGTACTGTTTGGTAAGAGATGGATTTGCTCTGGGGAGGTTTATAATCAGGCTTGCAGAACAGTGTATCTGATTTGCCTTGATCTTTTCCTAGACGGAATAGGATTTCAAACTTGTAGTTGGACAGGTATAATGACCAACGGGCTTGATGACGATTGAGGAGCCAGGCAGAAGTAAAATATTGGAGATTTTTATGGTCGCAATAGATAATGATTTTATGTTGGACCCTTTCTAGATAATGATGCCACTGTTTAAAAGCAGTTATAATAGCTAGAAGCTTCTTGTTGTAAACATCATAATTCACTTCTGCAGGTGAGAACTTCCAAGAATAATATGCAACTGGGTGCAGATAGCTATCTTCTTGAGGTTGGGACAGTATAGCCTCCAAAGCATAGTCTGAAGTATCAGTCTCCAAAAAAAAATTATTTTTTAGGATCCACGTGTACCAAAATTGGGGCTAAGGTAAAAGCTTTCTTTAACCTCTCAAAAGCTATTTGTGCATCTTTGGTCCATTTGAACCTCTTATTTAATTTTTGAGTCAGGTTTGTAAGGGGCGTGGCCTCTTGAGAATAGTTTTTTATAAAGTGATGGTAGTAATTAGCAAATTCTAAAAACTGCTGTATTTCTCTAAGAGTTGTGAGTATGGGCCATGAAAACAAATTGTTAAACTTTTTTCTATCCATTTCTATCCCTGTAGGCTTTATAGTATACTCTAGAAATTCGACGCAATCTCTATCAAATTCACACTTTTCCAGTTTTGCATACAAACCAAATTGACGGAGTCATTCTAAAACTTGTTTTACATATAGTGTATGTTCTTTAGGAGCTGCTGAGTATACTAAAACATTATCCAGGTATATAATAACGAATCTATCTAAAAAATCTCTAAACATATTGTTCATCAGATATTGAAAGACTGCCAGAGCATTTGTAAGCCCAAAAGGCATTACCAAATATTCAAAAAGACCATAACGGGTACAAAATGCAGTCTTTCACTTGTCACTTGGTTTGATCCTAACTAGATTGTAAGCACTTCTCAGATCTATTTTAGCAAAGATTTGAGCTAAGGATAGACAATGTAGTAATTCTGAAATAAGAGGAAGTAGGTATCTGTTTTTTATAGTAACTTGATTCAAACCATGATAGTTTACATATAACCTCAATAACTCATTCTTTTTCTTGATAAACAGTATAGGGTCCCTAGTAGAAGACCTAGAGTACATAATATATCTTTTGTTCAGGTTTTCTTCTATATACTTTTTCAGTATTTCTAATTCTAATTCTGACAGTCCATATATAGGCCCCATGGAGGCTGTTTTCCAGGTACTAAGTTTATAACACAGTCATAGAGTTTGTGCTTTGGTAACCTATTCACCTCTCTTTCATCAAATATATTACTAAAGTCATTATATTTTGTTGGGAGTGTCGGGATAGTGGTAACAAAATCCCCTCTTACAGAGGCTATGTGGAAGACTTGAGCCAAGAAGACTCTTTCTGATGTACTGATATGGGTTGTTAGTTGTTTTGTCAATGGGTATTTAAGATGTAGATTACAATCTGCATCTGGAAATTTTAGTATACGCTCATGCCAATTAAGGTTGTGGTGGACTAACCATGGTAGTCCCAGAATGATTTAATGGTGCGGTGTTTGAATCAGGTTAAATATAATTTCTTTATAATAGTTCTGATAACACAGCAGCAATGGCCCAGTCTTATGTATAACTGCTTCAGATGATATTTCTTGTCCATCTATTACTTCTACTGACAGCGGTGTGCTTTTAGTATTGATAGGTAAGTTGTATTTGTGTGCCAACATATAATCAAGGAAACAAGCTGAAGCTCCGGAGTCTATTAATGCATTGACGGGCAACATAGATTTGTTCGAAAGTTGTATGGATACTGGTATAACAAAAGTATCCATTAAAGTATCAGAAATTAGTTGTTTGGGGCCTTTATTACAAGTGCTATTCAACTGCAAACTCCTTACTGCAGTTGGGCTCCTCTTTTCTCAAGTTCTCCAAATTTGTTTTCACAGCATCGATTCTATGCTTGGCATTATTTTTCCTTGGGCAACTCTTAGCTATATGCCCAGGTTCGCCACAGTATAGGCAGAGATTATTGGCCTGTTGTCTCTGCTTTTCTTCTTCTGAAAGAGTCCTTGCCCTTGTTGAATCGATTTGCATTGGCTCTGGAGTTAAACTGAATCTACTATAATTGGTTACTAAATCACCCCAATCTAAATTATGACCTGTCGTTCACGACATCGCTCAAACAATCTGTTATCACAGCGTACTGCCTTAGATATTGCATCGTTCAACGATGTAGGATCTTTCATAGTAAGTAATAGGTCTTTTATATCATTTTTAAACCCAATTCGAAATTGATCGATTAATGCCACTTCGTCCCAATCCAGGTTACTAGAAATTTGACGAAACTCTGAAGCGTAGCTTGAGGCTGATTTGGATCCCTGGGTAAGTTTTCTGATTCTAGTAGCTGTTGTTCTGACCTTGTCCAAGTTCCTGAAGGTAGTTTCAAACTCCCCAACAAAACCATCAAAATCTTTCAACAATGGTGATTCTTTTTCAAGGAGTGGGCAAACCATGCCAATGCTAGACCTACAAGCAAACTGCCAAGCAACCTTATCTGAGTCCTATCATTAGGATAATAGCTGGGCTGTAGATAGATAATAAGCTGTATTTGGTTTAGAAACTCTCTAAACTTGGAGCAGGTCTTATCAAACTTGTCAAACAAGCTAACTTTTGGCTCTTTTGGGTAGTTATGAGCCTCTCTTTGCAACTGGAGTTGGTTAAGTTTATTGCAAAAGTCCATGTTCTCTTGTCTTAAAAGTTGATTTTCTTGTTAGATTTGTTGTAATACATAAGAATAGTATTGAGGTCTGGTTGTTCATCCATTTTAGACTATTGCTGTTTGTTTTTTATTCTTTAGATAAATTTTATTAATAACAGATTTTCAATTATCTCCAAATCTCTATACACTTATACTCTAATTCTTCATGGCCTAAAATTATAAATGACAGCAACATACCTCTTGAAAATATTCTATCTAACTACCCCAAATACAATACCTTTAAACAACAACTTCGTTATAAAAATATCCTCTATCTTGAACAACTTTGCTCTGCAGACAACAATACTCTTCTAGACTGGTCACATCTATCTCCT